GACCCTGAACCCCGGGAAGAAGCTGGGGAAAAGATGCCGATGAGGGATCTCACAGATGTATCACTCAAGTGGAGGTGAGTATTTATTGACTTTAATTCCCTTTTAAAGAGCAATTTCACCCAGATTTTTGTAGATTTGCAGAACTATGTTCCTATTAATTGCATTTGCCAGTGTGAGTATAAAATATATTTTTTTTCGATAATTTACCTCTCACTTTCTCAGGATTTTTAGGGACAGCTTCAATTTTTTTTTACGGGTTTCTTACCCTTTTTGAGCAGTAGTGAGAACAGCAGTAGCAGCACTGGCTTTTGCCCTATTCTGTCTGGAATAGAACAATAAAGGGAGAGCAGATAAGAGGGTAAAGCATGAAAATACCCATCCCCTGGTGGTAATTCTTGCTTTTCAAATGTAATAGCTGGTTCTGAATGTGACCCCTTTTAGTGCAGCCAGCTCACTCTTTCAGTCATGCTTTGTGAATTCAGTGTCATTTACTGTAAGTAATCTCCATAATAATCTCCATTTAATGTTTGTATGTTTAAAATACATACATAGAAAAAAACAGCTATAAAAACATTAGTTTGAAAAACTATAATCTCAAAATGAACTAAAAATTTACCAGAAGCCATTAAATTGTCTTTGTACAGGAGCCACTATACAGTACATGTTATAAGTTTATGTGAAAGAAAAAAAGATAACATGCAGTACATACATACTCTACAAATATATAAAAGTTTTAGGAGATTAATAAAACATCAGAAATGTGTAAAAATAAAGAAAAAACACAAGACCAATAGACTGCAGAAAAAGTATATGGATAGGTGTACACAGGTATTTCAAAAGCACCCGAGCCCTGGCCGATCCTGGCTATCCTCAGCACACCTGAACAGTCAATGGAGAGGTCACCCATGCTATCTTTGGGATTTATTGAACATTATAGACAGTGCTCCAGAAGCATACACCTGTGTTTGACAGTTTTGCTAAGTGTAGTGTCAAGCCCTGAAAATGGCATGTCCTTCTTCAGATGATTTCCAATGTGCTCAGGAAAATGGCTCAGGAGAAGTGTTCACTTCACTGCTGCTGATAGGGTTTAATGAACCTTAATGGCAGTGGGTGGAATGGCAGAGTGGTTGCATATACCAGCACGTGTGACATATAACTACTACATGACATGTCACATGTGCTGGTAAAGCATGAACAAGGCTGGACACTCTGTCTTGCCTAATTAGATGTCTTGTCAAATGCCAAAAAAATATGTTTCAGTTCAGACAAGCAGCAACAAAAGAAACAACTTAAAATACAATGTTTATATATCAACAGAAAAAAGGTTGCTTTAAAAAAAAAACAAATAGTTGCTTAACAAGATCATTTATTGATCTATCTATCAAGTTATAAATTAGAAATAACCTATCTTGCTTGAAACATAGATGCATAATTCTTTATAGCAAAACTCTATCTTTTACCTTATAGATGTGTAGAATGGCATCTCACAGGGGAGCTAATCATCATCTACTTGACAGGTCTCTCTTTTTATCTCTATTAGCATTAAGCAGCCAGTACTAAATTTGTCTCTCAATGTATGTGCGTCCAACTGCTACAGGAGAACTGGCAATACGTCTTTGATTGCTTCTTCTTCACCAGCATAAACCCTTAATATAGCTATTTAGTAAATGTCACTGGAACACAACTCCTCTTTATTAACAGCAGGCCAGTTTCTTTATTAAAAGCTTTTCTGGCTGATTATTTTGCAAAGCATCCACCGCACACAACACTGTTTATGCTCATTGTTATGGGCAACACATGGTTGCTATATTTAACTACTTGGCATCTGAGAAACTTAGACACCCTCTCAAATACACTAACACACACTTTCCAGCATCAAGTGATTCCCTACTGTCTTAAAACCAGTAAACCAATAACATGTTAAATTAGCTGACCTTGTTCTTCTCAGGCTTTGTGTTTCATTTTCCATGAATTTGGTACCTAATTGGTGGGGCTGCTTTGCTTTCAGCCTTCTCTCATTGTGGTCATAGAATCTATTGCACTGTAGAACGTTGAAGCACTCAAGCTTGTTAGGTGGGTGCAGCATGGCGTTGCAGCAAAGAACGCGAGTCCCAGACTGAAGCAAACAATGTATTGTAGAACTTGCAAAACAGTACAACAACCTGGCAGGGAGCACACCCAACAGGGGACCTCATGACAGTCAGAGCGGAGAGTCAGTGTTGAACAGGCCTGAGCTGAGACAGCGCCTGTCAAGGGAAGTGGAATGTGGCCTGGCCCGTCCAACTCAAAAAAGGAGCTTGCTCAGATGCAGATGAAGGCCCTAAGCCTTCCCACCTTCTCTAGGATCTCTCCCTACCACTAGTGATGTCCCTGACATCAATGGTGTGTTGTCCCTAAATTAGCCAACTCGCAATTACATGCCAAAACCTGGGGACAGGGAATTAAAAAGATTACGCATGACCCAAGATGGCCACCAGGGTAACCTGGATGCAGCGTAGTCATCCAGCATGCTTCCCCAGGGGACGAGGGAATCATGAAGAAACCCATTTTCTCCTGACTTCCGCCTCCAACTGCATTGCTGTCCTGGACAAGTGTCACTTGCAGTGGAAAATGTAGACTGCACCTGCCTACAAGCTTTTAAACCTTGCCACTTTCTATCATGTTTTATGGCAATGTCTGAATACTCACAAGCTTCAACTGAGCCCTTGTAACAACTGGTGAGCATGCATTAGCCCACCATTTCAGTTAGGCCTTGCCAACACTGCATCACAAAAAATGTTCCTCTCATTTGGACTAGATGTGAGGAAGTGTACACTGTCTGACCCACCTTGTGGGTTATTTTTATGAGGGAGTTCAGGGTATTTCAAAGGCTACTTTTCATAATCAAGTTTATCTATCTATCTTGGTCAGTATTTAAATGGGGGCTAAAAATCCTTCCTGCACTGGAGCCCTTGGATTACTTTGTCTATCACTGGTTCCAATGGTCAACTTATGTTGAAAAACTAGTAGTGTGTTAAGTGCTGGAAAACAATGAAGCAATCAAATATTGAAAGTGTTTTATTACTCCAGCATTTCATACTGTATTCCTGATATGTGTATGTTGTACTGTGCACTTGTGTTAAAAAGTATCCTGTTCTCTTTGTATTTCTTCCTTTTTGGAAATTTATGTTGATTCTGCCAGTCTCCTTCCTTTCGTGTTTCAAACTGACCACTCCAGGCATGAAAACACATCCTTCCAAGCATTGTTAGTACTCTGGCTTTGCTAGCAACACAGCCTGTCTGCCTTCCAATAACCAAGACTTGTGCAGAAAAGCTCCATTGCTCACCTCTTCACTGGGTAGGTTAGTGTACTGCTCCATGCCCACCTCTTAAGCAGCTGAGAACAAAAGGTTAGGTGATCGAATAGAAAACAGAGAAAACATTTTTTACCTTTGTCATTTTTATATATACCGTACTCGTGTTTTGCCTTGCATTTCTGTCTTATAACCCACATGGAATAAAAATATATTCTAAAAATGTCCTCCCAAATATATTGGAAATACTACAATTTTGTCCATATTAAATATATATCAAAACATATTTTTATATATATATATATATATATATATATATATATATATATATATATATATACTGTATGTTGAAATGCGTTTTTTATATACAGTATAACAAAATATATGAAAAATTTTTTTACAATATATATTTTTTTAAATATATTCTACAGATTTTTTTTAACATATAAAAAAGTCATTTTATATTTGTAAATGCATTCCAAAAATGTAGATTAAATGTATTTTTAAAGACACACGGCATACGTTTAAAAATATTATTCATATATTTTATAATAAAAACACATTTAAACATACAGTATATATATGTATGTGTGTATATATATATATATTGAAATATATTATAAAATATATTGAATATGGCCAAAATTGTAGTATTTCAAATATATGTCAATATATTTGGGAAGAATATTTTTAAATTATATTTAAAATATATTTTTTCTTCCATGTGGGAAGGTATGGGTTCACATATACTTTAAATATTTACTGATCCACAAAAATAAATGCAGTGTATGCAAACACAGAACAAATGAAAGAAAATTAGTACCTTTCACAACATTTCTTGTAAAGTATTGTGACTGTTTTAATACACAGATGCAAACTCCCTTTGATAAGACTCTGATGGAAATAGCAATTCCATGGCTTATGTGACGCATGCCAACCATGGAGTAGAAAAGCTAAACCTATTTAGTTTCACTGCAAGTAGAGTCATTGTTCTAGAACTCTATGGGGGTAGATTTACTAAAACTGGAGAGTTCACGCCAGCCGCACACAAATGTGCGGCCTCCCGGCGTCTGGGCTTAGACACCGAGCGGCCGCACATGCATGCAATTAAAAAAAACATATGTGCTGAGAGCGCGCGCCCTACGCGCTCCCAGCACACATGTCCAGTACTCACGGTAAGGTCCCGATCTCCTCTTTCACTCGGGACCTTTCCCGATCATGTGACCACCGTGACGGAGAATCACGGCAGTCATATGACCCTAAAATCCCGCCCCGCCTCCCATCTTCTGAAACCCTTAAAGGGCTGGGAGGCGCCGGTGCCAAAGGGTTAAGCTTTGGCCAAAAAACCTGACAACTGATTGGCTTCTATGCAAAGCTGCACCAGATTTTGCACTCTCCACTTTTGGCAAATCAATCCTTATTAGTCTATTCATACAAGTGTATTTGGTGCAGGTCCCCTTTAGTGGCTCATAATACATATAATGCAATTTTGGCATATTTTGTTCTTACAAGCCATGTAAATGGAGAACTCTTGAATCAGAACTCATGAATTATATTGCAATGTATGCCAAAAAATATTGCATACACCAAGTTGATTTTGTCGCGTGACACATTCTACCTGATGTCAGTGCCCATTTTAGAACAGCTATGCACATTGTAGCAAGAAAAAAAGGGAAGGTATTAATTATAAAATGTGATGAAACCTACGGGTCTGCTTCATGGACTTGCTTGGAAAGGAGACAGTTATGCATAGGAGTGAATGGACGGCTCATTGATTTCTTCTGTTTTTTCTGCTGCACTTCAAGTTCTGTGAGAAAGAACCTGGAGGGATAAATAAATTCATTCAAGTTAGTAAAAACACATGACTTGTAAATAAAGCACTAACCATGCTTCATGGTGCTGAATGCCAAGCAAAGAACAAATTGCATGAAAATATATTATAACCCTGCCACATGAACTGTGCATCAGGTGCTATAAGGTTTGGAAATATTAATTTAATACCATTGCTTTAAGCAAATATTTCAAACCAAAAGCCCTTTTAGATAAATACCCTTAAGAAAAGACTGTAACATAAAGATATCAGCAAAAAGAAAAAAAAGACATAGTACATTCATAGAGTAAACAATTCCCCACAGCATCCATGCAGCAAACTTCCTAACAGCTTGTCTCCCCATCTGTTTACACAGCCCAGTGCATAAAGGTGATAAAAGCAGCAGAAAAAACAACCTGCTAAATTAGGAGCATTAGCAGCGAGTGAACTTGGAGAGGTATGGGATTCAGCTGAAATTCACACATTGCCCATAAATAAAAGACTCTGGAGACTTAATATAGGAATTCCTGTTTTTCCCCCCTCTCGTATTTCTTGGCTCATTAGCTCAAATATAGTTTTCTGATTTGATGCAGTACGGAGGACATGACGTATCTCTATGTTGAATATTGGGGCTGTATTAACCATAAGGTACATGTGGGTCAGTGTCCAGGAAATCAAAGAAAAGGGAAGCCAGCACCAAAGCTCAAAATCTACAATTACACTGGGATTTAATGTAAATGTGCAAGTTTAAATCAGTTTCTTAGTATATGTATATGTTAACCCTAACAGTGAATTTATTGTATTTGTTTCCTTTTGCTCTGTTAATTCTACCAAAGAAAGCATTTTGTTGAACCTGTTTTATAAGGGCAAAAAACTGTTGATCTTGCCAGAAATTCAGAGCTGCCCTGTGTTCTCTGCACATCTCCTGCATTATCTCAAATAAACTATTTAGTCCATTCAGTTTTTATCCTAGGACTACAATATCATTAGTGCTTCTGTTTGCAGATGAAGACAGTGGGAGTAGTTAATTAATTCAGGAAAAGAAAACTGGGAAGATCTTAAACCACTCAATCCACAAAAGCACTGTCAGGGGAGTTCAAAATAACTCTAATGATAGATTTCCGATGGTAATTCCCTTAACCACTTGACCTCTGGAAGGTTTTATCCCCTTCATGATCAGACCATTTTTAGCTATTTCAGTCTTGTGCTACTTTTAAGCGGAGTTCCACTCCAAATGGTCCCCATTGGATCTTCCGCTCCCCATAAAGGATTGGCACCTTTGGGGAGCGGGGGGGGGGGGGGAACAGGTAGCAGAATTTGACAGGTACCCGCTCCCACTTCCGCTGCGATTGCCTAGGCTTTAAAGATTGGTCCCCTGCTCCCCATTAAGGATTGGCACCTTTGGGGAATTGGGGGGGGAACGGGTACCCGAATTTGACAGGTACCCGCTCCCACTTCCGTTGTGATCGTCTAGGCGATCAGAAATGGAAGTTGTCCTCCTACCCTCCCCGAAGTCTTGTGGGACATGTGACAGGTCCCAGAAGACGACAGGAAGCACAGCGGTACTTGCGCATACGCACTGGGGACCCAGCTGTGAAGCTGCAAGCTGTCACAGCCGGGTGCCCACACTGAAGATGCCGGAACCTGGAATACAGGATGGCCGGTGAAACGGGCTGCGGCGGGGGCAACGCGTAATCGTGGGACAGGTAAGTGGCTGTTTCATAAAAGTCAGCAGCTACAGTTTTTGTTTTTTTACAGAATGAGTGGAACCCCGCTTTAACTGGAAATTGTGCAGTCATGCAACACTGTATCCAAATTAAATTTATATAATTTTTTTCATAAAATAGAGCGTTCTTTTATTTTTTGTTATATAAATGTAAAAAAAACTGAAAGTTATGAAAAAAGTCTGATGTCTGTTATAAAACTTATCCAATAAAATCAAATGTCTTCATATATTTAGGACAAATGTATTCTGCTACGTCTTTGGTAAAAAAAAAATCCCAATAAGTATATATTAATTGGTTTGTGTAAAAGTTACAGCGTATACAAACTATGGTATATACAGTATACTGGAATTTATGCATCTTTTAAGCAGCTCTGATTTCTGATTGCCCATCACATATCTTGAAGCACTTAAATTCCAGGACAGTACAAACCCCCGCCAAGTGCCCCCTTTTTGGAAAGTAGACAGCCCAAGGTATTTGCTGAAAGGCATGTTGGGATTTTATTTTTTTGCCACAAGTTTTTAGAAAATTACAAAAAAAAATATTTTTTTTGCACAAAGTTGTCAGTTTAATGAGATATTTCTCACACATGCCGTGGGTATCTGTGGAATTCCACCCCAAAACACATTCTGCTACTTCTCCCGAGTTTGGGGATACCACATGTGAGAGCCTAGCCACACCCAAAATCCAATGGCCACCTTCAGGTATTCAAGAGGCATTAATTACGCATTGGATTTCCTGACTATCAAATTTTCAGAGATCCTAGAATGCTATGACAGTATAAACACCCCCAAAACTATTCTTCTTTGGAAAGTAGACACCCCAAGGTATTTGCTGAGAGGTATGTTGATTCTTTGGAAGATTTTATTTTTACCACAATTTTTTGGAAAATATATCATTGCACAGAATAAGTAAGTACTGTACAGTATAACTTTTTTTTTATTTTAATGAAAAATAAAATATTCTTTATAATCACATTAAGTGCTTACAGAAGCTGTATATGAACATATAGTGCCAAACATAGATTTTTGGTTTGCATATACGTAAAAAACAAATTCAATTATAATTTAGAATTGCTTACAGAATACTTTTCTGAATTCTCAAGGTTCTGTGTGAGAATAAACTTAAAATGCTAAATGCCAGCTAGCATATTCTCTAGAAGCAAGGATGTTTTTAAAAGGATATACTTCAGGAAAAACTGATTAGAGCCCTCATTTTTTGATTGGTAGGCTTTTTGTTTATGTATTGAATATCTCTAGCGATCATGAGGCAATATTTCACTGTCTTCCATGGAAGGCATACATTTTAGGATAGATTTATCAGATTTTTACTTTCTGATTAGTAGGCATTTTGCTCATGTACAGTGCATCCAGAAAGTATTCAGAGCACTTAACTTTAAACTTGTAGCATCATACTCAAAACGACTTGAGGCTGTAATTGGTGCTAAAGGGATTCAACAAAGTATTGAGCAAATGCTGTGAATACTTATGTACATATGGTTGTTTATCGTTTTTTATTTTTAATAAATTGCAAAGATTTCAAAACAAGCTTCTTTGACATTGTCATTATAGGGTATTGTTTGTATAATGTTGAGGAAAAAAATTAATTTAATCTATTTTGAAATAAGGCTGTAACATAAAAAAATGTGGGAAAAGTTAAGTGCTGTGAATACTTTCTGGATGCACTGTATATATACTTTAAGTATTTATGCAATTGAAACCTGAAGGAAATATACAAATTTAGAGAATGTGCACTAAGTTGTTGTTATATAATGTATATTGTGTACGTTGTGGATATGAAATTTGTATTTTACTATATAAAAAATACATTGTTCCACCAATTCATGTTATTGCGTTTATATTTACATTCATATTTGTTTACATATTTGTCTGTTCTAGATGGACTTCAAGGCAGCATTGGGTCGCAGTAGGATGGGTGAGTTTTCTGCTGGTCACCCGGTGTGGGGGAGGGCGGTTCATGGGGTTTTATACCCTTGCATGTGCCCTAGATCCTCTGTGGTGCAGACTGGGCAGTTTCTCTATGTTGCAGTACCTGCAGGGGGAGATCCCCCGTGCCGGTGGCATCCTAGAACTGTCTCCCGGACATTTTGGCTACTGCGCACGCACCCGATGTGGACCCATCACAGCCTTACACTGGGCACCGGCATGACGTCATAACATCACGCATTTGTAAGCGGGGATGGCAGCGGACGCTGAGGGAGGTTTCCTTCCTCACGGATACCAGTGTGCCTACATGGTGGACGCCATTTTGCATCCTATGGAGGTGTCAGCTGCAACATCTCTAATTGGCAGCACAGGTGAGATTGGTCGTCCCTTAATGAGATGGCTATATATGGGAGACTTGATTGCAGTCCTTTGTTCCTGAGGAAAATCTTAAATTGGAATTAAAACTATGGGGCGGCTTACTGGTTAGCACGTCTGCCTTGCAGTCAATGGGTCATGGGTTTGATTCCCGTCCATGGCGCCTCCTGCATGGAGTTTGCATGTTCTCCCTGTGCTTGTGTGGGTTTCCTCCGGGGGCTCCGGTTTCCTCCCACACTCCAAAGACATGCTGGTAAGTTAATTGGATCCTGTCTAAATTGGCCCTAATAAGTGTATGTATGAATGTGAGTTAGGGACCTTAGATTGTACACCCCTTGAGGGTTAGGGACTGATGTGAATGTTCAATGTTCAATATATATATATATATGTGTAAAGCGCTGCGTAAATTGACAGCGCTATATAAGTACCTGAAATAAATAAATAAAACCGTGTGGGGGCTTTTGGGGAATGTCATGTTGCTTTAACCGTTTAAGGGACTAAATAATTAGAACAGCATATCAGAGTTATCAATATGATTTTAGTATGTAATAATTTTTTTTTTTTTATATATTTTTGTACAATAAAGCATATATGAATTTTTATATTAATATTTGTGTGATTTTTTGGCAGCTGCATTAAAGTCCCACAGGGGTAATTTTCTCTTGTATAGAAGCAAGGATGTTACAAAATGTTTTATTGACTGGCTATAAAAATTAGCTAATAAAACTTGCAAAATAGAAAGCATGCCAATATGCACAAAACACCTATGGTGAGACTTCATTTTTGCTTTGCAGTTGTTATCAAATGCCCCTTTCCTACACTTTTCACTTCTCCTGTCTGGTTTCCCCTAAACAGCTGAAAGCTAATCCAGCTCTATGCAAAATATGGATAGGAGATTTGGAATCTGCAAGGAATTATTACAAGACTCAGGTAATACACAGTCATCCCTGCGTTTACAGCAAGCTCCTCATTTCTAGACTACATATTTACATGGCAAATATATAGGCTAGATCAGGGGTGGGCAAACTTTTTGACTTGAGGGCCGCAATGGGTTCATATATTGGACCCGGGGGCCGGACCAAGAGTAGATGAATGATGTGTATGTGTCATCCATAGTAAGTATAGTAATATTCCCCCATAGTAAGCATAGTAATTAATCCCCCATATAGTAATTAATCCCCCATATAGTAATTCATCCCCCATAGCAATTCGTCCCCCATATAGCAATTCGTCCCCCATATAGCAATTCGTCCCCCATATAGCAATTCATCCCCCACATAGTAATTCATCCCCCACATAGTAATTCATCCCCCACATAGTAATTCATCCCCCACATAGTAATTCATCCTCCATATAGTAATTCATCCCCCATATAGTAAATTCATCCCCCATAGTAATTCATCCCCCACATAGTAATTCATCCCCCACATAGTAATTCATCCCCCACATTAATTCATCCCCCATATAGTAATTCATCCCCCATATAGTAAGTCCCCCATATAGTAAGTCCCCCATATAGTAAGTCCCCCATATAGTAATTCATTCCCCATATAGTAAGTCCCCCATATAGTAATTCATTCCCCATATAGTAAGTCCCCCCATATAGTAATTCATTCCCCATATAGTAAGTCCCCCATATAGTAATTCATTCCCCATATAGTAAGTCCCCCATATAGTAATTCATTCCCCATAAAGTAAGTCCCCCATATAGTAATTCATTCCCCATATAGTAAGTCCCCCATATAGTAATTCATTCCCCATAAAGTAAGTCCCCCATATAGTAATTCATTCCCCATATAGTAAGTCCCCCATATAGTAATTCATTCCCCATATAAATTTGTAAGTCATTCCCCATATAAAATACATTGTTCCCCAATTCATGTTATTGTTTACCCCATATAGTAATTCATTCCCCATATAGTAAGTCCCCCATATAGTAATTCATTCCCCCATATAGTAAGTCCCCCATATAGTAATTCATTCCCCATATATAGTAAGTCCCCCCTATAGTAATTCATTCCCCATATAGTAAGTCCCCCATATAGTAATGGCATTCCCCATATAGTAAGTCCCCCCATATAGTAATTCATTCCCCATATAGTAAGTCCTTACATATAGTAATTCATTCCCCCATATAGTAAGTCCCCCATATAGTAATTCATTCCCCATATAGTAAGTCCCCATATAGTAATTCATTCCCCATATAGTAAGTCCCCCCAGGTAGTATTCATCGTCCCCATAATGTAAGGCTATACTTGATTGCAGTCCCATTCCTGAGGAAAATCTTAAATTGGAATTAAAACTATCCCCCGGATATAGTAAGTCCCCCATATAGTAATTCATCCCCCATATAGTAAGTCCCCCATATAGTAATTCATTCCCCCGGGGGCTAGTAAGTCCCCCCATAGACAGTAAGTCCCCCATATAGTAAGTCCCCCCTGTGTCAATTCACTTACCTTTGCTCCTCCGCGCGTTCCTCTCGTATTCCCGCGCCGTTCTGGTCTTCAGGGAGGACTGTGAGAGAAGAGTTCGTCACGCTGCCCCGCCTACATCCTGGCTGCCCCGCCTACATCCTGACAGCTGCAGAGTCCTGACGCCCGAGAGGAGGGAGGGGGCGGCCATCCGAGATGGGGGGGCGGCCATCCGAGAGTAGATTTTTTTTATAGGGTACAATAGAGCAGGAGAGGAGGTGATTTTTTGGCAGCTGCATTAAAGTCCCCGAGAGGAGGGTAGGGGAGGGAGCGGGCGCCCGGCACACAGGAGAGCCGCATCTATTGTAAAGAGAAAGCCGCGGCTTGCCGACCACACCTATGGCCTTGCGGGAGCCTAGCTCCGCGGGCCGGATTAAAAATATGGTCCGCCGGGCCGTATACGGCCCGCGGGCCGTAGTTTTTCCCATTGCTGGGCTAGATACATGGTATTTTCTGTACGTAGACCATGTGCCACTCACCCTTCAACATCACTTTCAGGTTTTATTTTCTGCAATAATCATGCAATACAAAAACAGGTAGTGTGTATGAGAAGGTTTCCAAGGTGGCACAAAATATTACTCTATGTAATAAATATGGGAAAAAAACAGGCAAAGTCTGTTTTCTTAATTCTGCATAACGAACACACCAGTAGTTAATAAATGGAAAATGAATAATTAATTTAAGGATTAATTAATTTCAAAATCACTTAAAAACTATTTTAAGAATTATTATCACTTTGCATTGAGTATCTCTAAAAAATCCTATTTTCCCATTCATAACCCATGACGTTGATAGAGTAGTTAAACCCACCAGTACCTATTCAAAGCTAGAATACCAGTTTTCAGAGGACTTAGAAAAAAAATAACCTTGTTTTATGAGTGGATGTACTGATGTCTTCTTCATCTGCAGAACTGTCTCTGTCAGAGTCCCTGAATGGCCTTGGCTCTGTCTTGTTTCTCTCATGGAGCTGTCGCAGGTTCTCTTGCACTTCTATCTTTCTGTCCTCTTCCTCTTGATGTAACATGTGGAAGTATCTTCGTCCCTGCTTTGCACTGCTAATCAGTCCTCTGCCAATCAAAACACAATTCAAAATCAAGTTTAAATTATTGAGATAGGTAATCAAAGAGATATGCTATATATATATATGTATGTGTTACTTGCATTGCTATAATTATTTCTGTAACATATCTATTTGAGTTGTTAATTACATTTTTTATATTTAAGGAGAACTTCAGGTACACTTTTTATATTTAAGGAGAACTATAACATTCAGTTAAAACATATTCTGCTTATTTGTATCTGGTTTTACCTTTCAGAAAAAAAAAATTATATTATCCACATTAGCCTTTAATAGCCCAGGACATGCTTGAATCATAAGGATTTCTGATTATGTTTGGGAGAAGCTTACCAGGGTGACCAAGCAGCATGCTTTGTATGCCAAAGCAAAAAATGGGTACGGCTAATTTAAATAAGAGGAATGGTTTTCTCATATTACTAAATTAATGCTCCAGTTCTGTACAAAGATTTCCCATGCAGCCAATTCTTGTAATTACCAGCATCTCTGAAAGTAGAAGGCTTTCCAAATCTTGTTGTTCACAGGATTAATATTCCAGCCTCCACCTTCCCTATCAGCTATGCAGAGACACAATATGGAAAAAACCGGAACAGCCAGAAACCCATGTGCATAGACTCAAGCAGCACTGTATTGACACTGCTGGAATCACGTCCACAGTGACACAAATAGTACTGTACTGACACCACCAGAGACAGTAGTGGTGGTTCTGGCCTCCTTACAGACAATTTCCTTACTTGACTTCCAGCAGTGGCAAATTTGTGTGGCTACGGTGGTAATGTGGTGGTAAGGTGATGCAGGGTCAAATGCTTGGTGGTGGGAGAGGAAGAGATAGAGATAGGGGCAACTACGGGTAATGGTAAACAGTATTCTGCAGGTTAGGTTGTTGGAAGCTGTGGTGGAGAATTTTGGGCATTATAATGGGGAAGACTGTTAATTTATAGCAAAGTGTCAGGAATAGAGTATATTCCTGTTCCTTATCTTCACCTACTTCATGTCCAGCTCTTGGTCCTTCTACAGTGGCCGGGTAGCTGACTCCCTTTGCCTTGCCTACCCAAGAATTTTTCTCTGCCCCACACCCCAGGAGCAATATGTGCATTAATTGACTGTGACAGCTGAGGGATCACTGAGACCCAGGAGATTTAGTCAAGCTCTCTCTAGATGGGGCCATCTTCATGAATGGGCACACCTAGCCACTGCCCAGGGGCCCCAGGTACATGGTAGGATGCTGCTTTCATTGCAGGTGGGAACAGCATTTATGTTAGTACAAGGTGGGAGGGGGTCAACTCTGATTTATGGGGGCATTGTGATGGGGGCAACCTGATGTACTGTATATGGGCAATGTGATGAGGACATCTAAAGTTTGGCAGACACTGTGATGTGGGAACCTGATGTAAGGGGGCCCTGTGATGAGGGAACCATATGTATGGGGGCACTGTGATGGGGAAGCCTGATGTATATGGGCAATGTGATGATGATATCTGATGTTTGCAGACACTGTGATGGGGTAACCTGATGTAAGGGAGCCATGTGATGGGGGGGAACCTGATGTAAGGGAGCCCTGTGATGGGAGAACCAGATGTTAGGGGGCACTGTTATGGGGGAACCTGATGTAAGGGGGCACTATGATGGGGACACCTGATGTATGGGGGCACTGTGATGGGGACACCTGATGTATGGGGACACTGAGAGGAAGACGCCTGATGTAAAGGGGCACTGTGATGGGACACCTGATGTATGGAGGCACTGTTATGGGGACACCTGATGTATGGGGGAATTGTGATGGGGACACTGATGGGGGAAGCTGATGTAAGGGGGACACTGTGATGGGAATACTTGAGGTATGGGGGCACTGTGATGGGCACACCTGCTTTATGGGTACACTGTGATGGAGGAAACTGATGTAAGAAGGCATGTGTGTGAAGGGGGAACCTGTTGTAAGGGGACACTGTAATGGGGGAACCTGATGTAAGGAGACATTATGATGGAGATACCTGATGTATGGAGGCACTGTGATAGCACACCTGCTTAAGGATACACTTTGATGGGGACACCTGATGTACAGTATATGGGTTTGTGTTGGGGGAACCTAATGTATACGGGCAATGTGATGGTGAAACCTGATTTAAGGGGGCACTGTGATGGGGACACCTAATACAGGCTGGCAGGGGCCCATCATGCTAATTAAATGGCACTGGACCACCCCCAAATATGAGATGACTGAGTCTCCTTGGAGACTAGAAAGGTCTGGTAATGCTGGTGTAATGTTTATATATAGTTCACTGTACACCTGGTATGAGAAAGCAGATGCAGGTAAAATCTGTACTAGTGATTATTTATTATCAGGTAGGAAATGAAGCTTCAGGGAGTTAAAATATAGTAAAGGGGCCTATGAAACACATTTGAACACAAATAAATACCAAGCAAACATAACTTGTTTTCCTAGAACAGCGGTTCTCACTGGGGGTCGCGACCCCTTTGGGGGTCGAACGACCATTTCCCAGGGGTCGCCTAAGACCATCGGAAAACACATATTTCCGATGGTCTTAGGAACCGAGACACCGCTGCTCTGTCTCGCGATCTGTGGGCGGGATGATATGCTGCCCCTGTAACCTGGCCACACCTCCGGGATCACTCAACAGCTCCGCCTCCTCGCCGCTGATTGGCCACCGGAACTGTAGCTCAGGAGAGGCACACAGGCGGCCAATCACCGGCGAGGAGGGGGAGCTTGGAGAGGAGGAGCCGAGCGGCAGAGCGCGCAGATCGAAGAAGATCGAGGGAGCTGCAGGACCGAGTGAAAGAGTGAGAGAGGCCAGAGAAGGAAGACAGCTGACAGGTAAGTGCAAATTTTGCTTCTGCAGGCTGTAGATGGGAGAGGGAGAGAGCGAGCCCAGGCTGGAGCAGGGGTCAGCAAGGTAAGTATCATTGGTGTCAGTGGGAGGAATAGTGCCCCATCATGTGTCACTAATACCAACGATGGGGCACTATTCCCCCCCCACTGACACCAACGATGGGGCACTATTCCTCCCCCCACTGACACCAATGATGGGGCACTATTCCTCCCCCCACTGACACCAACTATGGGGCACTATTCCTCCCCCCACTGACACCAATGATAGGCACTATTCCTCCCCCCACTGACACCAATGATGGGGCACTATTCCTCCCACTGACACCAACGATGGGGCACTATTCCTCCCACTGACACCAACGATGGGGCACTATTCCTCCCCCCACTGACACCAACGATGGGGCACTATTCCTCCCACTGACACCAACGATGGGGCACTATTCCTCCCACTGACACCAACGATGGGGCACTATTCCTCCCCCCACTGACACCAACGATGGGGCACTATTCCTCCCCCCACTGACACCAACGATGGGGCACTATTCCTCCCCCCACTGACACCAATGATGGGGCACTATTCCTCCCCCCACTGACACCAACGATGGGGCCTATTCCTCCCCCCACTGACACCAACGATGGGGCACTATTCCTCCCCCCACTGAACACCAACGATGGGGCACTATTCCTCCCCCCACTGACACCAACGATGGGGCACTATTCCTCCCCCCACTGACACCAACGATGGGGCACTATTCCTCCCCCCACTGACACCAACGATAGGCACTATTCCTCCCACTGACACCAATGATGGGGCACTATTCCTCCCACTGATACCAATGATGGGGCACTATTCCTCCCACTGACACCAATGATGGGACACTATTCCTCCCACTGACACCAATGATGGGGCACTATTCCTCCCACTGACACCAATGATGGGGCACTATTCCTCCCACTGACACCAATGATGGGGCACTATTCCTCCCACTGACACCAATGATGGGGCACTATTCCTCCCACTGACACCAAATGATGGGGCACTATTCCTCCCACTGACACCAATGATGGGGCACTATTCCTCCCACTGACACCGATGATGGGGCACTATTCCTCCCACACACCGATGATGGGGCACTATTCCTCCCACTGATACCGATGATGGGGCACTATTCCTCCCACTGACACCGATGATGGGGCACTATTCCTCCCACTGATACCAATGATGGGGCACTATTCCTCCCACTGATACCGATGATGGGGCACTATTCCTCCCACTGATACCAATGATGGGGCACTATTCCTCCCACTGATACCGATGATGGAGCACTATTCCTCCCACTGACACCAACGATGGGGCACTATTCCTCCCACTGATACCAATGATGGGGCACTATTCCTTCCACTGACACCAACGATGGGACACTATTCCTCCCACTGACACCAATGATGGGGCACTATTCCTCCCACTGACACCAATGATGGGGCACTATTCCTCCCACTGACACCAATGATGGGGCACTATTCCTCCCACTGATACCAACGATGGGACACTATTCCTCCCACTGACACCAATGATGGGGCGCTAGTCCTCCCACTGACACCAATGATGGGCACTATTCCTCCCACTGACACCAATGATGAGGCACTATTCCTCCCACTGACACCAATGATGGGGCACTATTCCTCCCACTGACACCAATGATGGGGCACTATTCCTCCCACTGCAAAATTACAGTTCTGAAGTAGCAACGAAAATAATTTTATGGTTGGGGGTCACCACAACATGAGGAACTGTATTAAGGGGTCGCGGCGTTAGAAAGGTTGAGAACCACTGTCCTAGAAGGTTATACTGATTTTTTTCTTGTTCCTTTACTTCTTCTTTTTATTCTTTTTCCAGCAATGTATACCCTAAAAAGTTTGATATGTCACCATGTTGATTGCTAATTTTAGAGCCAAGTTCACACGGAGCAAAATATGCAACTTGAATCATGAGAGAAGAGCTTTTTATTGTCCCACTTTGGACCTGTAAGGACAGGAAATAATAGGGATCTGTGTCAATGGAAATTTTTCACTTCAAGAACTATGTCTCCCCCCATACAAGTCATGGGAAATGAAAAAGCAGCTAAAAGTAGATTAATACAGCTGA